ATGTAATTAAATCACCGTAGGACCTAGAAAATCACTTGGGGTACACCAGCAGCGATGGAGCATCTTTTCTCTATCTCACTTTCTCATTGTCTGTGTGTTTCTCACTTTCGCCCTTTCTCTCCCATTATCTTTTTCTATGTCTTTCGCTCTTTCTACTTTACTCTCACTGTTATTGTCTCTATCCCTCGCTTTCTCTATTTATTTCTGTCTTTCGCTCTTTCTCTCTCGTTTTATCTAAATTTCATTTTGTTTTTCTTTTCTCGTAGCTTCTCTTTCTGTCTCATCATTTCATCTATCCTCTCACATTTTCTCTCCCTCGCCCTCTTCCCTTCCCTTCCTTTCCCTCCTCCTCTAACGAAACCAACATTAGTCCACCGTCCCAATCCCGACGTCAGCTGTCTGCTTGGTTAATCACAGCCCTCTGATTGGCTCTCCCACAATGTCAATGGCCAATCAACGAGCCCATTAGTGAAATCTTTGTTACTGTGTTTCCCACGTTATTTACCCGAGCGTCTTTGTTACTTGCGCCCTCATTGGTTGACGCCTTCATGAGTTCTCCGTGCGTTTTTTGATTCGTCAAAGTATGCTGGTTTTATGATATGATTGACGTAAAAAAACATAGAAAAACAAGCATTGCATTGTTCTGTGTGGCCGGATTATGACTCAGGCCTTTAAATTGCATGTGAAAATCTGACTTAGAAATCACACGTGTTAATCTGACTCAGAAATCTTTTGGGTAAAACTGACTTAAAAATTCCTCATGGGAAACTGACAAGCGAATCACTTGTAAATCGCACCTGATAATCCGATTTACAATCAATGTGTTTTACTTATGTTGATACATAAACTTAACTTAAAAACGAATTAAAAACTAAAAATGTATCTGACTCATTAATACTTTTCCCAATTCACAAAAAATAAAATATAACATAAAAATACGAGCGATCTCATTGGTTCAGTCTTTGTAAGTACTCCTGTGATTGGTTGGCTTTTGGGAAGAGCCAGTCAGAAGATTGCTTTAGGGAAACAAAACCTTGAACGCTGGCGACACGACTCACACTACAACCTAAGCGTAGGTCAGGTGTTTCTCCTCCCCACTTCACTCTCCACCCCCTCCCCCCACCTCACTCTCCACCCCCTCCCCCAGGGCTTATTTCATTCAAAGTTGGGCGGGTGAGTGGTTGGTGGTGACATATTATACATAGACATAAAGAACATAAGAACATAGAACATAAGAAAGTGATACTGCAGGAGGCCGCTGCATGAGGCAGACCTTTCACCCATCCCAGCACTTCCATGTCCTATCAACTTCTCTTGAGCTCCCTAGCGTCCCGATCCTACTATAGCACTCGGTAGCCTATTCCACATATCCACAGACAGACAGACAGACACAACAATTTATGACGTTACCGCAACCTAATCGATGACGTCAGTGACCTAATGACGGTGGTTGGTCAAACGAGTCACTAAACCAAAGACGTCTTCAGTCCTGGTGAGAGAGGGGGGAGAGAGACTGTCCACTCAGGAGCTGATAACATACAGTCATTAGTCGTGACACCTGAGGGAAGGTATCGGCTGTATCTCTAACTCTCTTTTGCTCTCTTTGTCTCCTTATCTCTCTCTTGGTCTCTCTCCATTTCTTTTATCTAATTCAGGCTCTTCGTCTCTCTCATCACCACTCCTACCCTCTCTTACCCTCTCACCACCGCTCCCTACCCTCCCTCTCACCCTCTTTTCCCCCTCGTATATAATCAGAACACAACACACAAGGGGTGGGGATGGGGGAGAAATCCATAGGTGCCATAAGAGGCCTAACTGCCCTCCCCCCCGTATACACTCCCTACTATATAAACAAATGCACATCTCCCCTTAATTATGTACACGAGACAGACCACTCATACACACATAACATAAACGCACACATGTACACGTGCACGCTCTTATAGGATTGGTGTTTTCTTGTGGAGTTCCGCCCGACTATAGGTTCAAAGCTCCTATGGCGTGCGTCACTAGGCCAGTGTTGCACCACTACGGGCGTGCCTTTATTGTGATTATTTTTTTTTTTGCTCGCCCTAAATAGAATCACGTAATCTGTTAGCGTGTGTGTGTGTGTGTGTGTGTGTCGGAGAGAGAGAGAGAGAGAGAGAGAGAGAGAGAGAGAGAGAGAGAGAGAGAGAGAGAGAGAGAGAGAGTATCTTGGTCACCGTAGTACGGAGGGCCGCTGCTGGCATCCTGCTTGTCTCCCAGGACAACCGAGTGTATATATTGAACACTGGATGGCGGTCCTCACGCACGCGCACACACACATACACACACACACGCACACACACACCCACACACCCACATACATACATGCATACATACACACACACATACATCATCATCATCATCATCATCATCACTATCACTATCACTATTTTGACCAATGGGACTCTTCATCTCCATGGCTCATCAGAGAACGAGCCAATCAGAGCACAATAATATCCATACTAAGATGTAAACTTCAAAACAACTGGATAAAAAATAAAATTACGGCCCATCTAAAGTAACACGACGCAGATGGATGAAGAAAAAAAAAACGGGAATTCACTCACTAAAAATGACCCCAATCTCATTCTCAGTAGAAGTGAGGTGAAGATAACAAGAGTAATTGTATTGTGTTACCTCCTGTCGGATATTATTTTCACATGAAGTTGTGCAAAGGTTTCAAATTACAGATATAGTCTCTCCATTGTTCAGTTCGTGATTTATTTTGCCATCGTCATCATCATCGTCATCATCATCGTCATCAGCACCAATGTCGTCATTATCATCGTCATCGTCATCATCATCGTTATCGTCATCATCACCAATGTCGTCATTATCATCGTTATCGTCATCATCACCAATGTCGTCATTATCATCGTCATTGTCATCATTATCATCAGCCTGTATCTAACCACTGCTTGGTGAAGGCTTTCTCTTACATACTTCGATAATGATTTTGTTTTGTTTTGAGAGCCTCTATCAACTGAGCTCACCTACCCACTAAGCTCCCCTACTCACTGAGCTCCCCTACCCACTAAGCTCCTCCGTAGGCCCTGGTAGTTGAGCTCTTTTGTCGTGAACCTGTTAATCACCTGAGAAGGATGACCACGGCGCCCTGGTCGGTGTCTTAAGGTTTCAAGTTCACTTCTTTAACAACGTCCGCTGCCTTAAGCTCCTTTCCTTCGTCTGTCTCCTTAACCACGCCATCTCCCTTAACTATATCTCCTCCCTTAACCACGTTCCGTCCCTGAAATACACTGTCTTTCCTTAACCACGTCCCCCCCCCTCCCTCCTGGCCATGCCCCCTCCCTTAACCACGTCCCCTCCCTCAACCACGTCTCCTCCCTCAACCACGTCCCCTTCCTGGCCACGTAGCCCCTGGGAGCGTCATACCTTTGTCATGAAGTCTGGCGGAGCTGCCATGACATAATTGCTGACTGAAGGACACCCGTCATGAGGGGGAACTATCACCTTTACTGAGGAGGACCACAAGAACCAGTTTACTGTGACTCTTCTCGTGTTTATATCTAACTAGACGGTCGGGGAGGGGGGGGGTGAGGAGCGGGTTGCCAGTTCCCCCTTGCCTAACACTCCCTCCCCTGTCGTCCAGTCCTCCTCCTCCTCCTGTCTATCCCTTCCTCTCTCCACCTCCCCCACCCCTTCCCTCTTCCCTTCTGCCCCGCTCCTCCTTCAGCTACCTATCCCTCCCTGCCTGGTGACCTTCCTTCTTCTTTCGTCTTCCTTCGTTCTCTTTCTTCTTTCTTTCTCTTTCTTTCTTATTCTTTCTGTCTGTTCTATATTTTACTTTATTTTCCCCTACTCTTGTTCTTCTTTCGCCCCATAAGTACTATTCTATCTCTCTTCATCCCTCCTTCTCCTCCTTTTCCTGCCTCTGTTTCTCCTCGTCTATCACTCCCTGCTTCTCCCCCTCCTCTTCCTGCCCTTGTTTCTCCTCATCATCCTCCTCTTCCTGTCCCTTTTCCTCCTTCTTCTGCTCCTTGGTACTCCCCTACTTCCCCCTGTTCCTCTCCTTATCTTCCCCTTCCTTCCTCTGTTCTTTCTCCTCCTCCTCTTCGTTCTTCCCCTGTTCTTTTTCTTCTTCCTCTTCCTTCCCCTGTTCTTTCTCCTCCTCCTCCTCCCTTCTAGCCCACTTTGTCTATTCCTCCTCCTCCTCTTCTGCCTACCCCCGTTCCTCCTCCTCCTCCTCCTCCTCTGACTACTCCTGTTCCTCTTCCTCCACCATCTCTTCCTGACCGCTCATGAGCTTAATTCTAGTGTGTCAAATTGTCAGAGGGATCGTGACATCCGCTGGCTAATGATGCTGTCACACAGGATCTAATAGCTTATATATGATACCATGTTTTTCAGATCGCCTTCGTCTCGGCCATGACTCAGACCTCATCACTTATACTTGATCTTTCTGTCACTTATTGTCTAGTTTAGTTTTTTTCGCGATTTTTTTTTGTACAGATATTATTATTTTTTGGGGGGGACTGATTTAATTTTTTTTTATTGATGATGTTGGAAGGTTTATTGTTGTTGTTGTTGTTAATATAATCGATGTGAGTTTATTGTGTGGATGTTGATGTTGTGGTTATTGTTGTTATTACTATTGTTGTTGTTGTGATTACTGATACAAGAGTTCCTTTATCACTTCTATTACTACTACTACTACTAACACAGACATGACTATTAGACTATTACCTCATTAACTACAACTACTAGTACACTAACTACAACTACTAACACAATAACAATAAGTTTCTTGGCCAATAACCCTCCAATAACAACACCTACAACTGATACTACTCTTATAACAACCACTATTAATGTTGTTACCAATATTACTACTACAACTACTACTACTACTACTACCACAACTACTACTACTACCACAACTACCAACCATCGCTACTCTTCCTATCATCAGCACAGTAAAATTCGCCTCACAAAAATGTTTAAAATCCGCTTACCTGAGTTAGGGCAGGTGAGTAGAATAATGAGAGCCAGGTAGGCGGAGACCAAGCCTCTCGCTGGAGACATGTCGGATCCTCCTCCCTTTAATCTTCCTCCCTCCAATTTCACGACAGGACAGAAATAATCTCCCTCGCTGTAGGAATAGTCTTCTTTGGGATGGAGATCTCCCTCTAAGTGGCAATAATAATCTTCCCTCACGCGATTATATTTTACTTAAGGGGTAGAAATAATCATTCTTGATACGGAGAGCGAAGGGAGAGAGAATGGTAGTGGTGAGGGGAAAGAGGGAGATAGAGAGGGGTGGTGTTGGTGTTGAGGAGAGGGAGAGAGAGAGAGAGGTGGTGGTGAGGGGAGAGGGGTGGTGGTGAGGGGAAAAAGAGAGAGGGGGGCAGGACAAGTTCACTTGAGGGTTAATCTTCGTGTTGTTGTCTCACTGTCAACAAACTTGGGGCGGGTTTTTTTTTCTCGTGATTTTCCTTATTCGATTTTTTTTTATCACCAGAAAGTTAGTAGTCAGTTGATCTTTTGTTTATATTTACTGTATATAATCTTGCTCTTGTTTGATAAAGGAAAATTAAATGGTGTCTTTCAGGTATAAAGCAACAAGTAGTGGAAATAGTCAACTATGTTTTCCTTTAGGTTCAAGTGAAATGTGATATAAAACTCTCACGTGTCCAATAGTTAAGGATCCTCTTTTGTTTTCTGAAGAGGGGATAATTTCAACGTCTGTTTACCGTTTCATCACACACTGTCATACACCGTAAGAATTCACTTCACGACTCCACACACAGTTCTGAAGGACGACCACGTGTTGAGGTGGACCTTCTACTACAAGTCTTGAAGGAGCCTGGTATCCCTGCTTACTATCAGCTGACGTACGAAGGACACCACGAGCGCGCGAAAGACACCACGAGCTAAGGACTCAAGGTTAGGACGTGGCTGCTTAACACTTTTGATCACCAAGACCAAAGCCTTCGTAGGACTCTTTAAGGTGGTGATGCAGGACCCCGGTAGCGAAGGACTCCAGGTTATCGTGAGCAAGTCCCGCGGGCGTGTGAGTGAGCTCCTGCTCTCTCCGTGGTGCGCTACGCGGGCCGGGGGGGTTAGCGTGCGTGCGTGCGTGGGTGTGTGTGCGCCTGGACGTGCGTGCGTGTGTGAGCGGGGTGGAGGACTCGTGTGCGCGTGCTGACAGAACGATGGCCAGACGGAGACTAAACGTGGTGTTCCTCGTCCACCAGGCGCGACCAGGCCCGGCGGGGATGGTTCCGGTGTGATGGTGGCGGTGTGGTTGTGGTAATGGTGGTTATGGTAGTGCTAGTGGTGTAATCGTAGTGTTGTTGGTGGTGGAGGTAATAACAGTGGCAGTGGTAATAGTACTCACTATCAACTACTCACTATCAACTACTCACTATCAACTACTCACTATCAATTACTCACTATCTACTTTATATCACCAATCTGTACCATTAATTACCAACCATGTTGCTTATTGAGTGTGTCATTAATAATAACAAAAAATAATCAATTACAAAGAGCAAATAATCAACCTTTTATACCTCCTTTTCCTAATCTCTCTATCTCCTTTTCTTCATCTCATTCCTCTTCTTCCTCCTCCTCTCTTCCCATTATTATTATTACCTCTCTATCCTTCCCTCTCTTCCAACTCTCCCCTCCCCTGTTTCCCGCTCTTCTTGTTCCCACTTCTTCTCTCTTTCCCTCTCAATCTCCCTCACTTATCCCCCCCCTCCTCTTCCCACACCCCCTTCCCCCCACCACCCCCCCACCAGTGGCTCTCCTCCTTTCTCCATTTCCCCTCCTCCCCCCACACACCATAAAACACCAACATAAATTACCTTAAGAACTTCAACTAATCAACACACCTGAGTTAAAGGGTTGACAGGTGGCCAGACGACCCTAAAGGGGGAGGGAGGGGGTGGGGGGTGAGAGGGAGGAGAAGGAAGAGCAGGGGGAGGTAATGTGGGAGAGGGAGGGAACATCGGAAGGACCGCAAGGGACTGGAGTGGGAGGGGGGGAGGAGGTTGGGGGAGGTTGGAGTGGGGGAGGGGGAGCGTTAGTGCTGGAAAAGGGGCAGGTTGGTATTTGGAGCCGAAGGGAAGTCTGGGAGGGAGGGGAAGGGGAGGAGATGAGGAAGGGTAGGGAATGAAGGAGGGAGGGAGGGTGAGGAAGGGTAAGGAGGGAGGGTGAGGAAGAGAAAGGAGGAGGGAAGGAGGAGGTGAGGCGTGGGGGAGGCAGACAGGGGTATGGGTGGTGGAGGTAACAAGGAATGAAGAGGGGAAGGAATTAGGGTGTCAGTAGGAGGAGGAGAAGGAGGGGAGGGGAGGGGGGAGGAGGAGGAGGAGAGGTGGGGACGGGAAGGGGCAAGGGAAGGGAAGAGAGCACGTAGGAAAAGAGCTACAGAGGAATATGTAGTAATTGAGAGGAAGAGGAGGAGGAGCGAAGGGTGGAGAGAGAGAGAGAGAGAGAGAGAGAGAGAGAGAGAGAGAGAGAGAGAGAGAGAGAGAGAGAAAGAGAGAGGGGGGAAACAGTGACTGGGAAAGATTAAGTAAGGAGGAGGAGTAACAAGAGAAAGCAAAGGAGGAGAAGGAGGAGGGGGAAGAGGAAGAGGAGCAAGAGGAGGAGGAGGAGGAGGAGGAGGAAGAGGAGGAGAAGAAAAAGGAAAAACCCTCCCTGTGGCTGGACAAGAGAACGAGAAACAGACAAAAAATGGATAATCAAGGAAAATAGAAGATTCAATTAAAGCAGAATGGAACAAGAAAATCCCAAGAGAGAGGATACAAGCACTGTCTGTTTCAGTCTGCTGAGCTGTACTGAAAAACTTACCTGGGTGACGGCAGACAACACAAACACAAGACAACAACACAAACACAAGACAACAACACAAACACAAGACAACAACACAAACACAAGACAACAACACAAACACAAGACAACAACACAAACACAACAACAACAGACAAGAACACCTCATCACTCTCTTTGGGAAAAATGGAAATATAACAAAGAACAAGAACTGGAGAACAAGAACTAGAGAACACCACAACTATAGAACACTACAACTAGAGAACACCACAACTATGGAACACCACAACTATAGAACACTACAACTAGAGAACACCACAACTAGAGAACACCACAATTAGAGAACACCACAACTAGAGAACACCACACCTAGAGAACACCACAACTATAGAACACCACAACTAGAGAACACCACAACTATAGAACACCACAACCATAGAACACCACAACTAGAGAACACCACAACTATAGAACACCACAACTATAGAACACCACAACTAGAGAACACCACACCTAGAGAACAAGAACTAGAGAACACAGAAACTAGAGAGCAAGAGCTAGAGAACACAACAACTAGAGAATAGGAACTAGAGAACAAGAACTAGAGAACACAACAACTAGAGAACAACACAACTAGCGAACAAGAACTAGAGACAACAACTAGAGAACAAGAACTAGAGAACACCACAACTAGAGAACACAACAGCTAGAAAGCAACACAACTAGAGATAAAAACTAGAAAGCACCATAACTAGAGAACAAGAACTAGAGAAAACCACAACTATAGAACAACACAACTAGAGAATAAGAACCAGAGAACAAGAACTAGAGAACAACACAACTAGAGAACAAGAACTAAAGAACACCATAACTAGAGAACAAGAACTAAAGAACACCATAACTAGAGAACAAGAACTAGAGAACACTATAACTAGAGAACAAGAACTAGAGAACACCACAACTAGATAACACCACAACTAGAGAACAACCACAACTAGTGAACACCACAACTGGAGAACAAGAACTAGAGAACACCACAACTAGCAGACAGACGAGGACCATTTAAAAGACCCCTAAATAAAAAAAAAATAATAATGACCATCAGAAAAGCGGAAGGAAAAGGGCCATTGAGGGAGAATAATACTGTATTTAAAGACTTAGCGACCATGAAGAGGGCAAGGTGAGAGGGAGGAGAGGGAGAGAAACAGGTGACAGACAGACAGGTACGCAGTCGGATATACAGATGAATAGATACATAAACAGGTAGATCAGATAGACAGATTTATAGATAGATAGATAGATAGATAGATACTGTAAATAGATATATATAGACTGATAGATAAATAGATATATACAGTGGATAAACATATTGGACGTGTCTATTCTATCTATCTCTCAAAAACAGATCCTCTCACCTAAAGCTACGAATATCTCTAAATGTCTGCATCTCCTCCTCTTATCTCTCCACCTATGAGATAATTAACCTCTGACCGATACGTAATTCAATGGAGGATTCATTATCAGACAGTTGGCCGAGTTACACCATAATTTCATCGTCACTGTCAGCCTCATCTGGTTCACTGTCATTATGTGTGTTATCATTATGCTCGCTATTATGCTCTAATGCTCAGTTAAAAACCAGTTGTTGGTTTTTTTGGAGGTTTTAAAGAAAAAGTATCGCATTACAACTCATTCCACGGCTTTCGAAATTGAAATTGTGGTGAATATAATAGTGTCTCCTTCAGATTTTTTTTTACGTTTAGAGAAAATGGGTTTTCTGTCGGGTTTGCCTTCATAGAAAACGTTCGTGCTTTTGCGTTTGTCGGTTGTTTGTATATATTTATAAAAACAAGTTATCTTGCGTCTTTACAATTAACGAAAATGTTTGCTGTGCTATTCTAAATAAATATGTTGTTTTCTTTTGTGCTTACAGTTGATAGCAAGTCATTTCTTGTTTACAGTTATGGAAAATCGAGTTTCTTCTGCATTTACAATTATAGGTTATGAAGGTCGTACCGTATTCACAATTATGTGCTTTTGAGATTATTTTCTCACGCATAAACCCTGTCGTTCTGGCTGTACTGCTTAGCCTTAATTTACTGCCTGCTCCTTTAAACATTCTGGCAACACTATTACTCTTTGCTTTATTCTTCCTTCATCCATCTGGCAAAACTGCTCCTCTTTCTTACTTACAACATATTGTTATTTCTACTACCACCATCACTACCCACACTACCATAAATAACAACAACAACAATAATAATAATAATAATAATAATAATAATAATAATAATAATAATAATAATAATAAAACAGGGAAGGAATATTTAAGACCCCCTCCCCCCTCCTGCACCGTATCTCCTTATAACCCCTCCCCCCACCACCACCTCTCCAACTTCTCAAATATGTGATCCTCCACAACAGCGTAACCAAGGTTGACCTCTGACTGACCTTGGCTAAGACATAACACAGGTGTACTTCCGGTCACAGCCAAGGGAAAGTCAAGGTGTGGGTGGTGTGGAAAAAGTGCGTGGTGTGGTGGGCGTGTGCGAGGACTGTCGGGTCTTCATTAACGTATAACCTGTGAATAACTTACTTTACCTGCTGGTCATGAGGAATGTCTGGACAAAAATCCCAGTGAACACAATGCAAAATTATACTTTACCACCAACATCCCATTAAAACCCACTAAAAATAAAAACCCAAAATGCACAAAAAACCCACTGAGAGACAAAAACTTAAACTGGCTTATTTAAACTGTTAGGAAACCTTAAAACAATTACCTAAGACAGACAAACAATAAATTACAGACAACCAACTATGATTATCGTACTGGGTTAGATATTCTTTGGTCCTGGGCTCGAATTTCATGTCGGGGGAGAGGGAAGACCATTAGTACAACAATGTATCGCTACTTGCTTTTACACGACACACACAACTGATTAAAAAATATCTATACAATCACATGAAGATTAGACACCCTAGTTTATTTGGCCTGAAGATTATCCCTCCCTAATGCTAACCTAACCTAACCTAACTCCCAGGTAGCATTAAGGTGATGTAAGCTGGGGTGTCTTTTGATAACGTGAGGTCATGCCAAAGTGACAGGCGCTGAAAGTTGAATCATTAATACTTAAAGCTCGAGTGTTTGGCAGTAGACAGAGCAGCTGCCTCTAGTTCTTGTGTTGTCCTGTAATAACACGCCTTAATGCTGCCACTACTAGTTGTTACTGAGGGCCGTAGCGACTACATTCAGGGAGGGAGGGCGTCCTGTGAACACAATAAAGACAGCCTGAGAAAACGCCGCCGCTGTTTCAACATAGTTGTGGTAATTGCAAAAGCCTGCGGGCGGTTCCCAAGCACAGGCACGGAGCTG